CCTACGATTTACGAGTTTGAGACCCCTGCTTTACACGAAGGCCCCATACAGCATGAAGGCAAGTGAATAGCAGACAAAAAGACAAGCGAGAAACACCAGGGTGAACTCTGAGCCTGGAGATGTCCCATCCATACCTCGCAACTATTGCACGAGAAGACTTCGTGCATGAAACAATCTTATCAGCTATCTGCGCACCCACAGACTTAATCAGAATCACCAGCATCAGGATTGCTAATATCAGGACTGCTACTATCATGACTGCTAACATCAGGACTTCTAACATCAGGACTGCTAACATCAGGACTTCTAAAATCAGGACTGCTAACATCAAGACTTCTAAAATCAGGACTGCTAGCATCAGGACTGATAACATCAGGACATTTAACACAAGGACTGCTAACATCAAGTTGAAAGACCCAAAACTAATCCAATTTTTACAGCTACAAAAAAGGGAGCAAATATGGTTTTATAGAAAAAGTCTGTAGATTGTTTATGGTTATTTAAAAATGTGTCCTTCTCTTGTGTTTTTTTTTTTTAGAATGTGCTTTAACTAACATGTGGACTAATTTTTGTCAGTGGCGAACGCCCAAAACAACCTCCCCCCCAAAAGCACACACCCCGCCCCACCCCCGAGACACACATTATTTATTTCATGTTATAATCTTAAAGGTGCCATCCGAGGTACTCGCGTCCCCATGGCACAGTCTACTGCGGGACAGTGATTTGGGAAATTACAGTTGATTGTCTAAACGTTGTTGTTGTTATTTTTGTTTGTTTTTTTGAACGGATGAAGCATGACGAAGGGAATAAAGTGCGGATTCAACAGGCCACGGACGACCATCTCGCATTACGTATTTGTCTCCGAATGTATTAAACATGTCAATAATATTCATTTGTAGGAAGCAACACCGCCTGTAGGGTGTCAATAAAGGCTTTACTACAAAAACAAACAACAGCGCCACAGGCGCGGGACAGATGATCCACAAGATCGCATCGCATCCGGTGTCAACGTCCAAAGGTGATTTGCAAGACATTAATCAGACAGGGGCGTTCTAGTGTTTTGTTGGCGCACACTGTTGATCTGTATCAATGTATTTATAATCGGAAAGCGATCTTCTAGCACTGCCTACGTGATCTGCGCAGCTCCTCTAGCTGGGAAATGCTTCAATTTTTGCCATTGTCGATTTCATTTGAGTGTTCTTAAGTCAAGGGTGGTCTGCAATGAATATATTTTCAAAGACTATTCCTGTAAAGTTTGAACGAAATGGCCATGCTCATATGTAGATTTTTGTAGTGTTGCGTTTTGAATTTTTTTGGGGGGTAAAAAATATATTGTTATATGTGTTGACTTTGTACCGCGCTTAGAGCCTTAACTAGGAATGAAGTATGTTTTTGAAATGAACTTTATTATTATATTATTATTATCTTATGTCCACTACGTTGGGGGGGGGGTGGAAGTTTAGGCTTCTGTGGATGAAAATTTACTGGCCATTTGCTTCAAAAAATGTTTGTAAAGCCTGTTGGTTACGCCCCCACACCCCAACCTTTTCGTGCATTTCCGACAATGAGCGGTCCCACAGATTTTTTTCCCACAGGTAAGGTGGTTTTTTTTAGATAGGAATGAGTTAAATAAAAAACATAAAACAATCTAGGTCACGTCCATCTGCCGGCCACGAAAGGTGACCGCAATAACGTAACGAAACATGTCAAGCCGTACAGCGCTTTGCTCCATTAAACTTGACGGCTTGCTGTATGGCGTCCGGGAGTGTTACATTTTTTACTAGATATTCATCGTCTTAAGATGTCCACTTTCAAAAAAACAACAACTATATAAGGGTGTAAGGCGGGGCAAATGGAACAAATAAATAATTCATACACAAATTTAACATCATCTAAAGCTCAGCCTTCAAAGAAACACTGACGATAATACTGATAAGGCATCGAACAAAGATGCTCCGAAGCCTAACTGTTGCCGTTCTACTCGGCCTAACACATGCTCGTAAGTATATCAAAATAATGTCGTTGCTCTTAAATCCTTCGTATTGACTTCGCTTTCGTTCGTGGCTGGCTGGGTGGCGTCATCTTGGGACGGCTAATTGACCAAGTTCCCGTCAACCTCTCGAGCTGAAACTTGACACATTGACTCGTTTCGATGATATCAAATGTTATCCAATTTTCAGCCCAACCCCAAAAAATCAGGGTTTTTTCCTGTTTCTCGAGGGGGTGGGAGAGTAGGAGATGAAGAAAATATGTTGACACTGATTTCACGAAATAAAATTCCCCATAACTGCGCTAAATAAGATTCTTTTTTTAAAAAATATCGCAAGTGCGTTGGTTGCGTAATATTTTATGTTGTTTGTCTGAAATATATGGTGAAATAAATATGCGGTTTAAAAGCGGAGGAGGGGGGTCATTAGGATATGACTAAAGTTCAGGGGCGTTAAATAAAATGCGCGGTTGCGTGCCTTGCAGCTGGGGGGGGGGGGGCTAAATTGGGATTTTTATAAAGTGGGTTATGGTAGGAATGTTTTGTAACATTTTCAGCCCCAGCCCCCACCCTCCATGTTACGTTTTTATAAGAGGGGGGTCATTAGGATATGACTAAAGTTCAGGGGCGTTAAATAAAATGCGCGGTTGCGTGCCTTGCAGCTGGGGGGGGGGGGGCTAAATTGGGATTCTTATAAAGTGCGTTATAGTAGGAATGTTTTGTCACATTTTCAGCCCCAGCCCCCACCCTCCATATTACATTTTTATAAAGGATTAATACGAAAACGTTGTTCTTAGGGGTTGTTTTATTTCTATTCACAAATCTACTTGAAGTTTGTTTCTGAGAGATTTTATTTAAACATTTTAAAAAATGGATCGTTTTTTTTTCATTCAAATTTTATTGAATGGTAGAAAAAAAAAGATCTGAGGGATTATATTTTTTTAAATATCTACTTTGAATATTCGTGAGGTTAGGTTCCAGAACCTATAGCAGAAAAGGGGAGAAATCTCGAATGTTTGATGCGGTTACTAATAACGTCTAATTGGAGATGGCGTCGGTGGGTCGCCGAGCGTGAGCTCTTAATACCCCCAACGGCACACACCCACACGGGCCAACCCAAGGTTTCCCCGCCACCACACCGTGCGGAAGCACGCCGGGAACCTGCCCCCCTCCCCACGGCCTGGAGGACGTCCGGTCGACTGAAAACGCTGCGTTTAAAGCGTTCGCGGTCCACTCTCCTTGGGTCTGAACGGTTTTGCTTCCTCTCCGGAGGGAAGGCGTTACGTTACCTCCCCCCACCGCCCTGGGAGTTGTCAGGTCGGGACATAGCGTGCACGATACGGTTACTAAACAAGGCTACTAAGCTCTTATTTACGTAAAACAAAAACTAAGTAAACGGCCCCTTAAAAATATTATTCGGTTAACTTCCTGTTGTTGCATCTCTACTATGTTATGTTAAGCCGACGATTTTAGGTGGTGGGAGCTGGTTTGGGGATGAAACTGAAAATTCAATTAGAATGTGTAATCTAGTCTTTGGCAATGAGGCGATGTTCCAAGTTTAGCTCGATGGGTCAACAGGAAGTGGGTCAATAAACCGTCCGAAAATTTTGCCCTTAACACACCTAAAAGCGAAGTTAATATAAAGGATTTATAAAAAAAAATGATAATAGATTCACGTAAAAATAGAGTATAGGACCGTGTAACAGCTATTTGCCACACTGGCGCATTTACAGTACGGTATACTAATGGTATACATGCAGTACACTATTTCATTGGCTATCGTTTACTTTTGCTGATATAGTCTGGTAAAACCGAGTTGCGAATTTCGCAGATGGGTGTGTACATCGCGTTGGCAAATAGTTAGGTTTCAGTTAACATTTCTGCGAATCCTGAAACACGAATGCATGAGGTATTACTGAACCTTCTTTTAAGCGAGACCGAGAATGGCGTTCTAAGTAAGAGGTAAAGGGGGCTGGTCAAATGTGGATTTCAATAGAAACATTGTAGATAGAGTTATACAATTTGTTTCAGGAGTTTTAAGTTTATTTGATGGCTCCTAAATGTCTGTTTACCTGAGGTAATAGTGTTTTTTATATGCTTATTTATATAAAATTTAGTGCAATGTTTATTTTTTTTAAAATAAAATAAAAGCTTTCTGTCATTCGTTTTTCATTATTCATCATCAAATATTTTTTTAACGGATTCATGAAAAAAAATAATAATTTGTGTAAAGAATTTCTTTCCAAGACGAGTTTAAGCGCACTTAACAGTTAAAAATACTTTCCTTAACATTTCTTTAAATTCATTACGGAAAGAAAGAATGGATGTTCACTGAACGAAGCAGACGCGATGTTGTCACAGTGACCTTACATGTGACCACGAGAGTGCTCGCGAGCCGACTCACTTGCGTAAACAAATACATTTCACCAAACAAGATGCGAGTAGACAGAAAGTCTTTCATAAAAGGAATAAGTTTGAGATAGTTACAATATATATTTATATATATATATATATATATATATATATATATATATNNNATATATATATATATATATATATATTAATATATATATAAATATATATATATATATATATATATATTTTTTTTTTTCAATTCTCATTTATTTCTTTGTTTAAATTCAAATATGCGATGATTTTAATGTCCGTAGACATTATATGGGTAAATTCTTTTAAAAGTGTCTTTGAAAATTACTGAAAATGCGGTTCTATGTACAAGCCTGTTCTGCGCAGGCAGTTGTGTGTTCCTAACCAGCTTGTTTCTGTTTCAGATTATGACTGCTCCCACTGCCCTGCCGCTGTGACGGCTAAGCCCGCGTGCAACCTTTTCTGTCCGATTGGTCAGATCTTAGACAGTCTGCGATGCGTCTGCTGGGCGCCACCCACTGATACATCCTCTTGTCCACAAATATCGTGTCCCGCAAGCTGCCCTGCAGGCCTCAAGATCACGACAGATGACAGGGGATGCCAATATTGCAGTTGCAGGGAGAAGAAGATGTGCGCTCCCGTCTGGTGTGGGGTGACTTGCCCTCTAGGTTTAGCAAAGGATGAAAACAATTGCGATATTTGCAGATGCATAGATCAGCCTATGTGCCCAACTGCTCCTTGCGAAATAAGTTGCCCCAACGGCTGGGAAAAGAATGCGAAAGGGTGTGATGTTTGTAAATGCAAAGAGAAACCAGTGTGCAGCCCGGTGAGCTGTGACTTGCACTGCCCGAACGGATGGGCTAAAAATAATTACGGCTGTGATATTTGTAAATGCAAAGAGCAGCCAGTTTGCATCCCTGTGAGCTGTGACTTGTACTGCCCGAACGGATGGGCTAAAAATAACTACGGCTGTGATATTTGTAAATGCAAAGAGCAACCAGTATGCATCCCTGTGAGCTGTGACTTGCACTGCCCGAACGGATGGGCTAAAAGTAACTACGGCTGTGATATTTGTAAATGCAAAGAGCAGCCAGTGTGCATCCCTGTGAGCTGTGAATTGTACTGCCCGAACGGATGGGCTAAAAATAACTACGGCTGTGATATTTGTAAATGCAAAGAGCAGCCAGTGTGCATCCCGGTGAGCTGTGACTTGCACTGCCCGAACGGATGGGCTAAAAATAACTACGGCTGTGATATTTGTAAATGCAAAGAGCAGCCAGCGTGCATCCCTGTGAGCTGTGACTTGTACTGCCCGAACGGATGGGTTAAAAATAACTACGGCTGTGATATTTGTAAATGCAAAGAGCAGCCAGTGTGCATTCCTGTGAGCTGTGACTTGCACTGCCCGAACGGATGGGTTAAAAATAACTTCAGCTGTGATATTTGTAAATGCAAAGAGCAACCATTCTGCAGCCCGGTGAGCTGTGACATACTGTGCCCGAACGGATTGGTTAAAAATAACTTCGGCTGTGATATTTGTAAATGCAAAGAGCAACCATTCTGCAGCCCGGTGATCTGTGACATACACTGCCCGAACGGACTGGCTAAAAATAGCTACGGCTGTGATATTTGTCAATGCAAAGAGCAACCATTCTGCAGCCCGGTGAGCTGTGACATACTCTGCCCGAACGGATTGGTTAAAAATGACTACGGCTGTGATATTTGTAAATGCAAAGAGCAACCATTCTGCAGCCCGGTGAGCTGTGACATACACTGCCCGAACGGACTGGCTAAAAATAGCTACGGCTGTGATATTTGTCAATGCAAAGAGCAACCAGTGTGCATCCCGTTGAGCTGTGACATGTACTGCCCCAACGGATTGGCCAAGAACCTAAACGGCTGTGACGTGTGTGAGTGCCAGTCCTTGGGCCAGCTGTGCGCAGCCGTGGCCGCGTGCGGAAACGTTTGTCAGTTTGGCCGAGTCATCGACGCCAACGGCTGTCCCTCGTGCCAGTGCCAGGGCGGCGCCCCCGTGGCCGTCAAACCCCATTGCCGTGGGGGATGTTCCAGTTGTCTGTGCGGCGGCAGCGGCGAGCAGCGCCTGAAGATCTCTATAAGCCCACGGGTGCCGCGTTGCGGACCTGTGTGTTCGAACTTCTGCCCCAAGGGCAGGATGCTCGATTCGAATGGGTGTTACACGTGTAGGTGTCATTCTGTAATAGGCGGACTCTTAGATCTTGTTTTGGGATAGGAGAGGATTGTCTTTCATAGCAATAATTTAACGTTATCGTCCAATTGTTCAAGTACAATCGGTCGCCCTATTAGTTACTTTCGTGTACAGGAAGATGATGCACGCAGAAATTTTTTGAAAGTGTATCCGATTTTTTTTAATTTTTTTTTGTGCACAAAGATGAGTTGTTTTTATTTATTTTTTTAACAACACTATATCTTGATTAGTTTAATTTGAACTTCGTTAAGCCCTCTACTTTATCTTGATCTTTTAAATAATCGATTAATAATATGCCCTTTTACTATCATGATCTCTCAAAAAATATTGCATTATTTAAATATCAATAAAGAGGAGCATTGAAATCTGATTTTAAAGGTTTGTTAATTTAAAGATTAATAAAGCTTGATCAGTATTTTTACAGAAATGTGCTGCACTTAAATGTTACTATAGATTGGTGTTGGTATCTTGGGAAATTGAAAGCATGTAAATATCAATGTTCGATTAAAGCTGATCATGAATTTATTTATTTTTTTTTATTATTTTTTTTTTTTAAATTATCGCTGATCCATTTTCGTTTCATTTCATTGATTCCTGTTCACTAACCTGTATTTAGAGAATTTCTCAAACAGGACTTCATATTCGAACTGGTACATGCGCTGTTATTGTAACAAAATAAAATACATTCTCAACTAATATCACTGTTATCGTCGTTTATTGCTAGTGTTTGACTGGTATGTGATTTGGGTAAAAGATGACGTGTCTGGGTGCAGCTGTTTGATCACCAATTAAAAGTGGAGCTCGCGCTAGTTGAATATCGTAGGCCTAGAAACTAAATAGTTTGTAGTTGTTGTGTTGTTGTGTTGTTGTTGTGTTTTTTTTGTTTTTTGTTGTTTTTTTTTGTTGTTTTTTTTTGTTGTTTTTTTTTTTTTTTTTTGGGG